TCAAAACCAACTGAACAAAAACCTGGTCTGAATTCAATCTTCACCCTGCTTTGAGCAGCACGTTGGACCAGATGACCTACATGACCTCCTGAGTACACTCACACAGTAAGAAGGTAATTTAAGCAATACTGTAAGTTAGCAGCAGCTAAAATAAATGCATTCTTTCCTCTAGTATGATAAGCTAGGTTACACCTGGCATTAAATTGGCTCAGTGAAGGCTATTCATGTTCTAGTCATGTGTTTTGTTTGGCCCTTATGCAGATAAAAGATTACATTTTAAAAAGGTATGATGTAGAACTGAGGTTTCATGGTCTCTATAAGCTGTGATCATAAAAAGTGACTTCAACTCCTCTTTCTATACTCATATATCATCTCTCAAATTTCCACTCTTAAACTGACCAATCCCAGATGCTTGACTTCTTAACTTTGCTTAAGTTTTTTGTTTGTTTTGGGGTTTTGTTTTTTTTGTTTTGGTTTGGGTTTTTTTGAGATGTCCTCCTTATATTCTTTCAGCCTGCTGGCTTTCTTTGATGACATTACACTTCAGGCATTTTCAAGACGATTAAGAAGCAGATGTTCCTCCTGTTTCAGCATGCTCCATGTATTTAAATGGCCTTTCAGACAGAATTTGAAAATCTATAAGCCACTTTCAACACCACAGATTCTATTATATTAACTTGTACGTTAATTTTACCCCCCACTGAGATTTAGAACAGAGCCACGGTAGTGAATGTAAGTTTTTCCTCCTACCATTCATTCCTGCAGGAAGAAGCAAAATTGATAAAAAGAAAAATAACAATAGTACTATTGTACGCTGACTAATACTTCTCCTTGCTGTGAAAGGAAAAGAGGCTACTGATGCCCTCAGGAAATTCAGAAAAATTAGAATTTGATGTTGTGGAGAAGCAATGTAGAAAGCTATGCTTAGAGGAAGAAGAAAAAGCAGTGGCAAAAAAGATTCCTTTTGCCACTCACGCTTTGGAAGTAATTCTGTAAGATCACAAAATATTATTCTCTAGTTCATAAATATGCTTGTATTCCCTCATGGTGTAGGAGTAGGTATCAAAAGCAGACAAGTTTTATCTGTTATCACTGTCTGAGGAAATGACTGCAAACATACAGATGCAGAGGAGAGCAATACGTTATCGATGTTGTCATGTAGTTCCAAAACTAAATCTCTTTGGGAATCTGTTGAAAATATACATCATCTGAAGTTTGTGCTTCAATTCATCCTGTGCCAAGAGCACTGATACTTAAAGAATCCAACTTTTTGGTACAAAAGGCTATAGTTACGCTACCCACTGAGGTGAGCAAGTTCTGTTGGGATAGCAGAAGAAAGTATCCTACTGTTGCTCCATATTGCCATAACTAGGCTGCTTCACAATATGGAGATAAGGTATATTCATGTGATATGGCTAGCTGAAAAAGCACACTTGCTCTTATACGCTTCCCTCATATAGTTTTTAAAAGATTCTAATTCTTTATTTCATTTCTACTTAATGTGGCAACAGATCAGAAAACTCAAGTAGAAATAGTGAACCGATTACAGTTACTAGAAATACCTAAAGTTTAAAAAAATACTTTATACCAGTATAGGGGTCCAGGAGCGTTGCTGTCTTAACTCATGGAATCCTTTATGTTCACAGAAGTGAGATTTAGATCAGCATTTGAAAAGACGGTCTTTTGAAGAAGAAATAGAAAACAAATTTATTTCAACTGTATCAAATTGCTTAAAAGCCTATTTCCACTACTGGTTGTCATCTAATAGGTACAGTTAGAGATGTTATAAAAATCTGTTGTAACCACTATAAATAAGCTTGATGCCAATCTGAATTCTAAGCCCTTTTCTTCGCTGAAGAAGATTTCCTTGAATAATTTCTGTTGAATAATTTCAGCAAGGTAAGAGGGAAAGCCTTGTCCCTCTACAAATAACAACCTATAAGGAAAAGAGATCAGCCTAGATTTTATGAAGAATCCATGCCAGAGGGTCAAGGCTTCCACATTCATTTCACACATCCTATGGCTCTTGCTCAAGACACTAAGCAACAGTACTCTTGTGGCAGTTTGCCATAAGACATAAAATAATAAAAAGTTATTTTAATTATTAGTCACTGCTGTTTACTCTTTGTCTCTTCTCTCCTCAAAGGAGACCATTCTGCATTAAGGCATCTTAATAGACAATAACATTCATATTGCACAACTCATTCAAATGACTAGCCATGCATATGGGATAGGCAGGCATACAGTACTTACAGACGACGCAGATATTGGCAACTTGCTCTGCTCTCAGAGTGAATTATTCACATAAACAAAGCAAATACTAGACCCCTGAGGATACTGCAATGTTTTTCACTCAAACAGCAATTACCTTAACTGCATGTATCTGAAATCATTTGCAAGGCCATCCTAGTCTGAGGTTTTAGCCGAATATACAGTATTTTTTCTTTAGTTATTATGACAGGCAAGTTTCCATGGAAGATTTTAACGTAAATAACAATATTAAAACACTATTTAATTATTAATCTTACAAACATTTAAATATTATTGGAAGGCAGCAGATGATGTCCATTTTCAGATACTACTTTTACGAATTAAAAAAACCCCAAACCCTCCAGATATCAGGTAACCATGGGACACTCTTTTTAACAACTCCTACAATTTTCAAACATTACTGTTCACGGTAGGAAAGTGTAATGTCACTTTCAAGAAGAGGGAGCTATGTCTTTGCAGATCCCTCAGACTGATTTTATTTCTTCCTTAACAAAAGTTGAGAAAAAGATAAGCAAGGGCCTCATAGGCATTCTGTTTCATACTAATGGCAGGTACTACTAAGATCACAAAGCCACACTCTTATGCCAGGTAACTAGAGGGATGAAGGAGAAGAACAAACTAGATTATTTATTTGTTTAGTACAACAGGCTTTTGTTCGGATATTTTAACTTCAGTGTGTGTAACAGAAATGCCAGATGGCACCAGATACATATAGGAGAAACTTCATTTTGGCATGCATATTAAAGGACAACAGTGATTTAAAGGTGGCCACAAGGAAGTCATGGTTGGACTTGATGATTTACAGTTGGACTTAATGATCTTAAAGGTCTTTTCCAACTTAAATGATTCTCTGATTCTGTGAAGGCGAAACATGGATACCACCAGAACTATAATGCCTTCAGGACTTTTACTCACATATTAGAAGCAGTAACATTATCAGACGAAGTGTTTGCTTACCAGCAACTGCTTTCTGTGCAAAGCCCAGACTACGGAATACACATGTACCAGATAAATAGATCATCTCAGACCCTTAAAATTAGCAAGCCTTTGTGCTTCACTGTTCATGCTAAAGTATGTGTTTTAGAGAAGTCTATATATAGATTCATTAACACTGTAAAAGATCCTTCAGTCTGCTTAGAGGATGTAGGATTTTCACTCTATGATCTAGTAGAGGAGACAAGATGGTGTCCCACTCAGTTCTGGAAAGACACTGGAACATGTTGACCTTTCAAAAAATACAGAGATGACATAACCTAAAAAGTCCAGCTTTAAGACTTTACTAGAATTCAGCAGAGATGCCACATCCAAAGCAGATGCATTAAACCAGAGCTGCACATGAGCAAAGGCTGGCCAGATCCATCTTATTGGCCTACTAGCAGACAATCTTGGGTCCCAGCTAGGCAGGCTTTCTGGCAATGTGTGCCTGAACACTACCAGAAGATGATCCTGAGACAGCGGTCAGAAGCATAAGAAGCCACATTTAAATATATAACAAAGTGAATGCTGTCACTTTTGTCTCTAATAAATACACCATCATTTAAATACGTAAACTCTTTTAGCTGACGTGTAACCATGAGAATAATTTGTTATTCTTTTCCCCACTTGTGCTAAAACAACTGTTGTCCTATTGTTTGACTCACTCTTTACAAATCAATGCTTTTAGCACGCGTACTGAACCGTGCTATCTCATTTCAGATGCTCGCTCCATTTGTTAAGTATAACTATCTCCATTCTTTTTAAAAAGCTCCAGATAAACTACAAAAGTTTGATATTTCTTCTTTGGACTTTGCAAAGCAAAGCACAGGAGAAACTGAATGGCTATTTTAAGAGACAATGTGTTTTCCCAGTATCTTTCCACCACATACCGGCTAACAATTATGGTTAACTCAATGGTTATACCATTCCATGACTATCTGTGTAAAACATTCCTCAGAGTACGAATTCAAGCAAACAACGAATTTTTAATGTCAGAACTCAGACAACTCCATCTACCAGGTAAATTTGACATTTCTGAAGCTTAGCAGACTCACCATCTCATCAAACACTGACACTCTGCAGAAGCTCTATCTGGGGATGAAGGAAAAGGCTCTGCTGGCATACAAAGGACTTGTGGTAATGTACTATTATTCCCTCCCTTCCCCTCACACTCAGTGCTCATGTTTGGATTACTAACTTCACTGCAGCTTCTGCATAGCTGTGCTTCAGGATCATGTTTCAGGATGTAATTAGCCTTACAAAAAAATAAGGGAAAACGCTTCAGTCATTTTATTTTCCATGCATAAGCTACAACTTATGGTGAAATCATTGCTGTAAATGGACAAAGGAAAAATTTTCCATGCTAAAACGTCAACAAAAAGGTTTGCTTCTTATAGATTATAGGCTATACAGGCAGGAGTGGATTAAGAAAATATGAATTGTAGAAAAAAGTTCTAATTTTAATAAATGTTTTTATGTTAAGGTTACGCTTGCCAAAATGTATTGTCTCTGTAAAATAATAAATCCACATTAAAATCATGCCACCTGGAAACTAAATTTCTAAATACATAAAACAGAACTGAATAAAATACACATTTTCCATGTCTTTTGAAAACACTCCATTTTCCTGTTCCTTATGCAACTGCAAGTACTGAAAGAGAATTTCCAGCTGTGCCTTGTCAGCCTACGGACCGAACATATTGTGCTGCTTTTCATTTTCCTTAAGTGAGCTTTTTAGCTCTCTGAGTAACAGTATTAACTGATTCTCTGCACACAGAACAGAACAGCGCTTTGTCCCCAGGGAAAGAAGCTATTTCAGACTTAACTAAGGAATCATCTAACATGTTTCAACAATCCCTACTGTTTCTCTGTTTGTTTTAAAGATATCACTGTGATTTTGTTTCATTTGCAACTGGAGACTAAATGACACCAAGCAGAATCTGCTGTTAGGTTAGATTACAAGGTAAAATGTTTTAAATTTTAAACTACTGCTTAAGGCATGGTGTTGAATGGCTTAAACGACATGTTAACTTTGCAAATATGTATGAAATAATATTAGCTATATTTAGCAATACTGAACATAAATGCTTTTCTAGATAAAGTATGCAATACCAGTTGATCTGCTTTTTGTTTGGTATGAATGTTTGCCACGCACTTCAAGCTTAAACTAACTGAAAGTGCAATTAGTTTTGCTGGTATGGTTAAATGTAACTCATTTCTATGCAATAAATTTAAAGAAGAGTATGTGAAAAATCTTGGTAAATCACTTTAACCCCTGTGTATCATCAGCAATAACCTTGACATCTTAGAACGTGTTTGAATTTAGACTGAATAGATAAAGATAGATTATTTAATAAATTCTGATACTCTGGTATTTCTAAAGGGTCACTACTTTAAAAATTAACTATTTCCATAATAGTTAATTTTTAATAGCAAAATGATAGATACTGAATTTACTGAAGAGAAACATTTTGAAAGCTACAAACTACTGAACATATTACATGAGAAAAGTAAAGGTCATAGAGATGCTTACACGTACTATGCATGATGTAAACATTTATGGGTAAAATTAAAAAAGGTATAGCAATGCAGTCATGTTGAGAGTATCTGGCAACACAAAGATATAATAATTTCATTATATTAGCTATCTATAATTTTATTTTGATATGTAATAATTTATTACAAGTGTTATAAGTTGAATAGGTTGACTTTTCCCCAAATTAAAAGCTGGCTGGCACTATACCAAATATAACTTCCCAATAGATAATCTGAGGATTCCAGCCATGGGCAGTAAAGGCCCAATGCATTAAGGCCTTTTACTTGTATGACATTCACAGCTGGGGCCTTAAAGTGTGAGACACCACTTACTAAATAAGCCAAGGAAAGAAACTCAGAAATGTAGCTCAGTATTTTGCATGCAAGGGACACCATTTTGTTGAAAGTAGCATTATTAAGCTTTCAGTACTGAATAGTTAACTTGGTGTGAAAATATAGCATATAAACTCACATATATGAACAGGACTAGTTTATAAAGACACATTATTGGGGGGTTGTTTTCTGTTGTTGGTTTTTTTTTTTTATTTGTAATTATAATGTATTTTATGAAAACAAGTTTCACTTTAAAATAATTGGATTTACTATAGAGTTTTACTCGATATTGAAGTTAACAGCAAAACTCTGAGACATCATTTGTACAGTGAATGTAATGTAATTCACCCTATATTATTCCTGGTTTTTAAAATTACATGCCTAGAGAATGGAAAAGTATTTCAATCATGCCATTGCTTAGGGACATGGTTTAGTGAGCATGGTGGTGTTGGGTTGACGGTTGGACTCGATGATCTTAGAGGTCTTTTCCAACCTCAGTGATTCTATGATTCTATGATTATAAGCCTCTGGTCACAGGAAGAAATGGTTAAATGTTAAAACAGCACAAATGTAATGTATCAGCATTGTAACTACATAGCTATGGCGTTATTAGTATACTAAAAAAATGTGACCATAATTAAGATGTCACTAACTCAACAGAATGAATACACATGTTCAAGACTTCTTTGTATATTCAGTTTTCCCTAAGGGCTCTTTGTATGTTTCATTCAAACTTGCGGAACAGAAGTTTACTGTGTGATTTTATAGCTAGTCATTACCATGCAAGTAAGTTAGAATCCAAAAACATTAGGTCAGTTGTCCTGCAAACTGAGGTACTAAGAAACAAGCACTTTCTGAAAAAGAACAGACATCATCAATGCAGAGTACAAGCTTCTGCATGTATTTGATATGTTAACTAGAAGTAATTTCTCTAAATAAAAGGCCAGCATAAAGTCTATATAGCATTTTGGAATAACTGATTTCTAATGGGTAGAAAGCAGTAAACTAAAGTCTGGATTAATTTCAGAACCCTGCTATTACATGAGACCTTATGTGGATTTCTGTGAGACGCATCTCAAATTCCCTTTATATGGAAATAAAAACATTAGCTTAGCTTAACAAAATTCTGCAAATTAATATATATATTTCTATAACATTTTAAAATTAAAATAGTTGAACACCGAAACTACAATATTAGAAAGAAGTAAAAGCATATTGTTTTAAGATTATATACCGCCAAATTCCCTTCTAAAAACATGAGAATAAAAAAATATGAGAATTATTATGCTGTGGAAAGCATGAAAAACATGGAATCAATCACATGCCTTGTGTTAAAGAAAAGTTAGGCAACTTGTACCAAAAACTTGACCTATTATATAAATCAGAAAATACCAAGATGCACAAACTTTTTAAAAAAATCTGATTCAGGCAAAACCACAGTTCAAGTTCCTGAAATAATACTATCCTGTATTTATACAATATAAGTAACTATAATAAGACTAACTCCAAAGTGAAAGACTACATATAAAGCCAGACTGATGAACATTAAGAAAAAGCATTTTTTTAATCCTCTCAAGACTTCCTTAGAAAAAACCATGGACATACTCTAAGCCTTGTCTTGGACACAAAGTGCTCTAAGTCTCAAGCTCTTCACTAATTCTCAACATCACAAGAATATTAGTGTCTTCAGACCCTACCGTCTCAGTTAAAATAGGCCACAGGACAAGAGCATTTCCTTTTTGAAAGAATTATGCCGACGGAGCTATGACAAATCATTAATAACTTTGGACATGCATAGCCTTATTTCCACACTGGTATAGCCATTGCTGGATATGCTTTCTATGCATACTCCTGAATCTTGACTGCTCTGTTTTGGAATGCCACCTATTGGTGACAGTAAACGTAATTTTTCTGTCAGAAGCATAAGAAGGCTCAAGATATATAGTAATTTTGAATTTCTTAGAAAGTAAATGCAGAACACAACCCATTATAGATCAACCTTTTTAGACTACCTACTCTTAATAAAAACTTCCACTAGAAAAGCAGATGTGGGATGCCACAAATAGTACTATTGTGACCAAACTTGCAAAAGGCCGCCTCTACTGCAGAACCAAAAAGATTCTGTTAAAGAAGAGGATGGCTAGAAATGGAAGCAAAAGCAACAACTCTTTTCACCTATGGTGAAAAATACCTTGCACAGAAATGATAAACCAAAAGCATTCGGGGCAGCATATCAGAAATGAATTGGGCATTTTTCTGCTACTTTGCCATTCCCACGTTCAGAAGTTACAACAACCTGGAAGAAATATTGGCAATCAAACAAGTGAAGAAACACTTTACAGCTCTTGGGAACTCCCTTGCTGGAAGCAGTAACAATGACTATACTACAAATGCCTGGTGGTACTGCAAATCTAAACTACCTCTTTAAATGCAACCCCAAATACAAAGCTAGTCCCTATTTGAATTTGACTATTGCCCATAAGGGCACAGAACCACAAAACTAAAATTGCTTACTTTAGCTCCGAATAGGGCGATTTCTTTCCAAGAGGAAGCTTGGTTATATTGACCTAGCATGTATTGGTCCACCTGCTTTGAAAAGTGCACCTGACATAATCCTAAAAGCTCTCTAGATATCTAATTTTCCTCTTTTTTCCCATTCCAGGATACTTTCTGAGACACACAAAAACATGCAGGCTACATCATTAGTCTATTATTTCCTGCTTGTCCCTCTGTGCATTGATTTTTCTCAAAACGAAACTAGTGCACTTCTCAGGAGGCAAAGGAGAAGAATGCGCTACAGAGGATTGAGAAGGAGCTCCTCAGCAGGGCACAGGTCCCCAAGACAGCCAAGGATGAACCTTCCAGCTCCTGTTGCTGTAGTACCCAGCATACCTCTTATTAATATTGATGACGGTGTTATGGGAGTATTTGACTCTCTCATAGGTTTGGGTGGACATGAATCTAGTTACAGTGTCTTACCAGGTAAGAAAAAAGCCCCTCTACTACTTAGAGTGGGCCGATTTTTCTCGATTTCAAATGAAACGTATAAACTCATGAAAGCTTTATTTTAGCTCTACTTGCAACACATACTGAAATAAAACTCAATTACCTTTTTCTAACCTACTTTTGTTGCCTTTTATAATAATTTCATGGTTAGCATATGACGCTTTTTAATTTTCTATGCTTAAGCCTTACAGAGAGTCCTGCTTTGCCAGGTAACAGTAATATTTTCTGCAATTTTTCTGCATTCTTATTTCATCTTAACTAATAAAATTTTGTTGGGATATTTTCATAAATTCAAATATGTAGCAAGTTTGAAGGCCATTTTGAAGAATTTCTTGCTCAATATATCTCCTAAATCAATTAACATTTCCTGAGGCCCTAACACCAATAACACCAGTGTTATTTAAAATGGATTTAAGTTCTTTTTTCTTTTGGTTGTATTTTTGAAAAACAGCATTCAAACTATGTCTACATGCAATATTTCAGGAATAATTCTTTATTTTGTAAATAAATTAATAACACACAGTAATAGTTGCAATATGAAACTTACATTACAAACGACCCTTATGATGGAAAACTAAGCTAAGAGAGAAAAAAACACTCATTCAACACAAGATAGCTCTTACACTCCATCTATATTGAGAACCTGGATTTACTTAAAAGAAGTTCAATAGTATGATTTATATCAAACTTGCCTTTTCGGTGATCTAGAGGTTTTCACATTGCTGCGCTAATAAGTATTTTATGGGTTTTGAAGGAGATGTAGGGAAGACAATTTGATGTCTTAACAAACAAACAAACAAGCATAATTTCACTGACCTTTACTGAAACCCGCCTTGGTAATCGTAACAGGCCTCTCTACAGTCCCCTCAAAGACTGCAAGACTAGACAGGGACTGAGAACTGAGAGTTGTTAAGTCTCTCTTTGGTTCTTAGTGCAGTAAAGGAAGAAAGAACTCTTGCTCTAGGATGCTTGTGATTTTATGTTCAATGTCACAAATGGGAAATTATGACACACAAAACAGGAAATTAAGATTCACGAGAGCCTAAAAATCAGACATGCATTCTGAAGACAAGAACTTCCGAATACTACTATCAGTATTTTTAAATTTTGAAACCCCAGTTATTAACCAATTGAAAATTGTTGAGATGTTAAAACACTTCATTTCTTTTCATAGAAAGAGGTTCAAAGGTTGAAGAAAAGACACTGGATGCATTCTGAAGACAAGTTCTTCCGAATACTACTATCAGTATTTTTAAATTTTGAAACCCCAGTTATTAACCAATTGAAAGTTGAGATGTTGTGAGGAACCAATATAAGGTCGCATCCACCCTATAGCTAATAAATATAAAAACAGATACTTCCACATTCCAGCACTAAGAGATCAAACACTGAGAAAAAACATCATATGCAATTTTATGAATTTTATGACCCCCCGAATGCCCTGATTACCACTGTTCTACATAAAATGATAATAATCTATTTTTATAAGCAAAAAGTTAAACCTTTTACTGTGTCACAAAAGAGATATGACCACTAGGTCAATATGTCTCAACTTAAATGGCAAAACATATTTTAGTCACATTTTCTAAACAATTACTATTACTCCTTACTTTCAGAAAGGCTGAACCATTTCAAATCAAATATTTTTAAGTAAGGGGTTTCAATGGGAAAACTAGCAAAACTCTTGACTATAGCATTTCTAGAGTGTACTACAATATTACTCTTATAATACATACTACTAATGTCAAACTTTTAATTTAAAAATATATTTTAAATTAAACAGCAGAAAATACCACATAAATAGCATACACTTCACGTAAGATATTCCAGTCTCTCTGTCAGACACCATCAGTCATGCTGAAATAATGCATGGTTCTTCCCCCCTCCCCGCCCCGTTTGTTTCTTTCTATCTGGACTTGCATCCAAAAGCTGAGCTAAAACGACTGAACTCATTTTATTTGGAACTTTATGCTGAATTTACACCATATTTCCAAAGGTTAAAAGTCCTGTGCTCATCTGCCAAAGACTTCAACCACAAGGTATTTTTTAGTCTAGCTTTTAAAGTTCAAAATTTTTTCAAGTTAATGTCAGATTTGGAAAAAACCACTGTTATTAATCATGCTTTAGAACAGAAGAAAATGCAATCCAAAACTTAATTTTCATTCTCCTAGCTACTTATTTTTGCTCTAAACAAAAACAATTTACAGATATCATATGCAGGATGAAAATTAACAGTTAAATAGAGGTTTAACAGTAACCAGATATATCTCCTTCCTCTATATAAAAATCATGTGAACCATTTAAATTAAATCAAACAGTTCACCACAACATAAGATAATTTGCAGTTGTTTGTCCTTTACAGACTACAGTCTGCCCATTAAACAGTGCAGAATAGGATGTACACTGTTGCACTATTTCTAATATCTCTTAAACCTCACTTCACTATGGTGGTACGAGCAGAGAGAAGTTGTTCAGTGGACAGAAAGTTTAAGGACCATCTCAATGCAGTCTTTACTCTCTCTCATAGGGGTTATGTGAATTCCAACAGAGTGCCAAATAGCAGTTCTGCAATGCAATAAAAGAGTACCTCTTTGCCCTTGAGCACACACACTTGTCCTGTCTTTTTAAGTAAGTCTCATGTACACCGAAAACAAGATAAGTTGTTAAAGAAGTCTGCAGAGGCCAAGGCCTGATAACCCATCTCTTTATGCTCATTCAGACAACATTTTCACCAACTTCAGATACAGTCTAGTAGCTAAAACAAAATAAAGAATTCAAGGAAGCACAGAAGAATTTCCATCTCAAGCCAGATATGTTCCTCTGGAACAGCTGACATTTTGTTGTTTAACATGAGGAAGTGTAGTGTTCTTTTTGTGTTTCCTTTGGAGATTTATTGTGGCTTCCTGGCAAGCACATGAAAACCAGAAGTCAGAATCCAGCAAACAGCTGGATAACAGATACCTGGGTAGAATGACAAGGGACTTACAGCCAACTAACATTTGGCCTGGGCTAACTCATCTCCTCCTTCAGTTAACATGGCTTGAGTTGATTAGAGCACAATTTTATGCAGCTGAAATGATGCATACATATCCTGGACCTTTGAGAAAACAAGATGCAACTGTTCAAAAAATTAATTTCTCCCCCTTTCCATCCTGAGTAACTTAAATCAAAAAAGCATTTTTGAAAATATAAGGAATATAGAGGAGCATCCAAACAAGATGATTCTGATAATTTTTATTCCAGAAAACAGCTTCGTATCCAATGGTCTTTACGTAGAAGGGCAAAGAAATACCTTTGTTATGAAGCTGAGAGTAGGGCTGCCTTGAAGGACTTTGCAAAATGCCTGATTTTGAGTCAAATATTAATTCCAGAGACATTTCAAACCAAATATTTACAATAGTCTTGTCAGGATATTTAGAGACTATCCTGAATACTCTTCCCTTTAAAACTGAACAACCCAGCATGGACCAGGGCAGAGTGTGGGAAAACAAACCCTGCAAACAATCCTTCCAAAGACAATTTGTCTATTGCAAAGTAAAGACTCTTGCATGTAAATTCAGTTGCAATAAGATTTTTCCACTGTATTAGACAATCTTCACCTGAAGGAGGAAGTCAAACCAAATAGGAAAAAAGGAAATTTTTTTAATTATTATTTATACGCACGAAAGTACAAAATAACTTAGAAATGGGTTTTCAGCTTGAAACAAACACTTCAGCAATGCATTCTTACATTAATTAGAAAGAGGAAAAGGAAGGTGTGTAGGGAGTACAGATTCTCACCAGATTCAGAGGTACGCTCAAAAATAGGAAAAGATTTGCATGGGATGAAGAATCTCAACCTTGGCTTTCCTTCTCTCAAAAGACAAAAAAAAAAGTGTCATGCTGAAGTGCAATGTTTATCCTCGAGTCTGGATGAAAACTGCCCAAGGAAACTTTCGCTGAGGTAGACTCCATCACTGGAAGGAGAGAGAGACCTTCCCAAGCCTTTACACTCTTCCAGACAACTTGCCTACTGAATATCTGAGTATAGCTTACAAAATAAATCTCTTCTACATTTCTTTCTGAAAATTTTGACTGGTACCCTGGGGAAATCTCAATTTTTTGTAGATTCATGTCCAGAAACTTTGGAGATGAAGTATTTATTAGCACAAGTTGTTCAAGATTGCTACTTTCCTAGCAAAGAATTTTTTTCAGATAAAGCAAGTTACAGGGAAGGTGAGATGTTTGCCATCTTACCAGTCATTACAGAATGGACTTTACTTCCATTAAGCCTATGAACAGTCACTATAAAGTGAATGTTGTTACCCACCTGGTTCCACAGAGCCTTAACAAAACTTTCTCGTTTAATGTGCAAGATATTAGAAAAGACATCTAGTGCACAAGAGAGAAACAGAAGGGGGTCTGGGAAAAAATATTCTCAAGCTCTGCATGATTTATTTTAACTCCATTGTGGTGATGAAAACTTTTGCTTCTTTCTCAACTGTATCTATGCACAGCTTACATTGAGATCTGTGATTTCTGCTTTCCATTTCTAAGGATGGAGAGGAAAGAGGAGCTGCCATGCAAAAGACCCTCAGAAACTCACCATCTAGATTTAATTTTCCCATTTTAGGAATATCTCTGAATTTGAATATTTCAAGAGTTTTTCCAGAAGACAAAGCTTGTAAGGGTCCTCATCAGCTGGCTAGGAAGAGGGGGAAATGAACTATTATGATGACTGCCTGAAATAGAGGGAGCAGACAATTAGAGGGACAGAGAATCTGCAGACAGTTTTCACTGTGAAGCTGTAAGCAGGTAACAGATGCATACACATTAATTGTGTGCCTCCCCCTTGATTGCCTTCACAGCTGAGAGGCCAAGAACCTAATAGGGATTGGAGACTACTAATAAGCTGAAGAAAATACAGCTATGAAAAATAAGGTGTAAGGATAAGATACTTAGAATAGCGTGTATTTTACGTATTTTCAAAATTAGAACAAAATCGTAGTGCTTCTTTCCAAAGTTTTAAATAAACACTGTTGGTTTTATTTCAGTTTAAGCTATTTAACTCCAATTTTCTATTTTCTTTTCTTAGGAAAGAAGGGGCACTGCACAGCTAATGGGATGATTATGTATGATAAAGCCGTCTGGTCTCCCAAGCCCTGCATTACCTGTCTCTGTTCAAAAGGAGAAGTGATATGTGATACAACCATGTGCCACCCTCTGAAATGTCCCAAAACTATTATACCTGCAGGAGAATGCTGCCCAGTTTGTTCTGATATTGGTACAGTACACCATAATATTTTTACTATTTTAAAACTACCTCATGCAAAACCTACATTTAATGATATCAAGGATTACAAGGTACACATTATCCTTTTATAGAGAAAACAAGTCCTGAATTACATTATAAAAGCAGGTCTTCATAACTTCTACTCAAGCTGACTTCGGTGTCTTAGAGTACACTGGCTGTTAGATGAGTTTGATATAATACATAAATATGTTAAGTATGCAATAGTAAAGATAATAATATTTCTTTTTTATTTTCCCCTTTCTGCTTCTTCCCTCCTACCTTTACAAAATTTTGGTAAATGTACAAAGAAAGAACATCTGGTTACATATTATATCCCACTTCCATTTACAAAGGATCAATCAATAACTACTAGCCATTATTAATGTGTTAGACATACATAATAAACATCATACAGTTTACAGACTGGTAAATCTTTGTTAGGAGTGTGAAAACATGCAGCTATTTGATATAAATCAAGAGAAGAAAGTCAACTCACAAGAGGAACAACAGAACCACAATCTTGCTTCCTCTTCATAAAAATTTAAACAAAATCAGTATCTTTAAAAAGAAAAGACATGGAGGAGATAAAGATGAAATGTGATTTTCTTCCCCCATTCCCAATACCCTAAGTCTGCAAAGTACTGAACTTAACTTCGCCTTACCGTAAAAATATTATTTAGCCTCATATGTGCACATGTGGCATACAGAAATGCACCGAGTAGAGACATGATAGAAATTAACTGTAGAACCAGAAGTCATGTTGATTGAAACAATTAAACTCCTTTTATTTGAATTGCCCTACTATGCGAGTAAAAACTGCATTTTGTTAATGGAGTTAACACATCTCCCTGGCAAGCTCCCTGCCTGCAGCCATCTCTACACCTGACAATCCCTTGCACAGGAGAACAAATCTTAACCTTTGTGAATTTTATTCAAATTACCTTCCTCCCACTCCCAGACACATTCTTTTTCCTCTTTAGACACCTCCATCAACACAAAAAACTAATTAATATATTAGTTCAGAAAGGATGATAATGAAGGCTGTATTAATTTTTTCCCCTTTTTTTCTGGAGTTGCAAGGAATCGTACCTGTCTACAAACTATTCTGTATGGTTGGCTTAATCATTTCTCAGTCAAAGTATGTCTCTTCTGTCAAGCAGTAATATAAGTTCATATTTTCATTCTTTCAAATCATATTCTAAGGGGAATACTATTCTTCTATAGTTACCATATTTTTACTATATGAGGGGAACAATGTTTACTAAAACTTTAGTTTCATATCCTCTTATCAGACAACTTTTTTTTTTTTGTTCTCATTGCCTCTGGTTAGCCTCCTCTTTGGATTCAAGTATTATTTCACTGGATGACATAAGTGAGTTGTCTGGCGATTCTCCAGAACCCAATGACCTTGACAACACCAATGTACTGTCAGCAGCACATACTCAAACTGAAAAAGATGAACTGCTTAGAACAGAAGTGGCAGAGTTTAAAGAGAAAGAGGGTCGTAAAAAGGATGAAAAGAAAAGGAAAAGGAAAGGCAAAAAAAATCGACAGAAATATAAAGCCTATCACAGAGAAAAGAAGCCTATCACAAGAAAGGGAGCTGCAGAAGAAGAAATACAATATGAAAGTGATGAAGATGATGGTACTTTCAGAATGCCATCTCATTTCCCAATTCCTGTTCCACCCATAGAAGCTCCTCCTTTGCCATCTGGATGTTCCACCTCGGACACCACAGTAAGCTGTATTAACGCCAAACTTACACAAATACCACCAATCTCAGATCCAGATCTAACCAGTCTAGACCTTACAGGTAAAGAATGGGTCTACTTTGCATGATTTTTCTCATGAAGTAGCATTATCCGTTCTCAACTGCAGTCAACAGTAGTGTTAATACTCTGTCGCTCCTTATCATAGAAATGTATTAGAATTAATTTTATAGCTAAGCCTCTAAAATAATAAATTAAAAATGTTAGATTTGCTTACTAGTGTTTAAATACTAATATGAATATATCTACACACAATTATTGTACATAATACAACTATTTTTGTAACATATTTTTCATGTACAATACTACACAATACAGATGCATACCGTAATTCATAACTCAAACTATTTTATTGAATTCTGTCCTAGGAAATAGCATCACTACTATCTCAGATGAAGCATTCAACGGGATACCTAATTTGGAATGGATTGATCTGAGTAAAAATAATATTACCTCTCCTGGCATAGGTCCACAAGCATTCAAAGTAAGAAAGCCTAACTTTTCTACTATCCTATGACTAATTATTGCTTGAAGGAAAGTTTTCCCTGCTTTTCGGTCTATGGATCTAAAACAGTTTGCACCTAGCATGAGTAACCATTGTATAATTACAATACAGTTAAACCTGGCTATTTCAAGAAATCTCGTCAAAAGGTCTACTTTGCATGATTTTTCTCATGAAGTAGCATTATCCGTTCTCAACTGCAGTCAACAGTAGTGTTAATACTCTGTCGCTCCTTATCATAGAAATGTATTAGAATTAATTTTATAGCTAAGCCTCTAAAATAATAAATTAAAAATGTTAGATTTGCTTACTAGTGTTTAAATACTAATATGAATATATCTACACACAATTATTGTACATAATACAACTATTTTTGTAACATATTTTTCATGTACAATACTACACAACTCAGATGCATACCGTAATTCATAACTCAAACTATTTTATTGAATTCTGTCCTAGGAAATAGCATCACTACTATCTCAGATGAAGCATTCAACGGGATACCTAATTTGGAATGGATTGATCTGAGTAAAAATAATATTACCTCTCCTGGCATAGGTCCACAAGCATTCAAAGTAAGAAAGCCTAACTTTTCTACTATCCTATGACTAATTATTGCTTGAAGGAAAGTTTTCCCTGCTTTTCGGTCTATGGATCTAAAACAGTTTGCACCTAGCATGAGTAACCATTGTATAATTACAATACAGTTAAACCTGGCTATTTCAAGAAATCTCTCGTCATAAGCAAGAATATCTAGAGATTTTTTAATTACATTCACCAAGTATTAAATGTTAATCAATAAGAGACAAAGAATTTTCTGATATTTTATCAGTTGCAGTTGAGAGATTTCAGAATTGAAGGGCTCATATTCCATTAACAACACCTGGGATACTCAGGCTCAACACTTGTAAATTTATGTATCTTTCTCACTACATTAGCTCTGTAAAGCTTATGCTCTTGGATTCCCAAAGAGACCTGCCTATGCCAGGTCTTGCTATAAAAGTCCACTCAATAGGAGTTCATGTAATCAGCTGTATGCTTACTGTTGACTATCTTTAATGAGGAACTTTCAAGCACAGCTGCTTACTAAAAGAACAGCTTTCTCATAAAATAGTCCAAGAGTCTTTCTATAGTCAGTCTTTTTCTTGCAAGGGGAATTTACACGTAAGAGGCTATTCAAGTGCATCTACATATTCCTCACTTGAAGACAGAATAGTCCCATAGTAATTTCTCATGCAAGCAAGTACGTACAGGTAGTAACTCAAGCGTGAAAGTAAGGCATCAAGGCCTTGCTTTTTCAGGCAAGATGAATACAAAAAGCATATGAACAAGAAATTGAATTACCACAGTATGTTTTTAATTTTGTTTCCTGCCATATGCAATCAAGTCTTCTTGTAGGACTCTCTGTATACCACGTCACTCCATAACATGAACAGCTTTGGCTGATTTCAAAGGACTTCAGTTCCTACAACTCCTATGAAATCCAAGTGGATGGAAAAGACAAACCAGGAAGGTGTTTCAGTCGTGAAATAAATTTTAGTGAGTTAAAGGCAGTTAAGACAAAATTGGAGGAAAGCAGGCTTCAGTGGCTCCACTGCTAAAACAACTCTACCTTTTTAGGAAATGCTCACTACTGCATAATTACTGATGTGCATTTATCAAAATTCAGCTATGATAATTTTTCATACCAATTTTTTAAGCTGGCTGAAGTCATAAAAATCCTAGGTCACTGAAGAAGTTGCTGTCGTTATGCGTGAGCAAAGTAAATTTGCTCACCTACAGAAAACCAGTAATTTGCTCACAAATGAAGAGTATAAACGCATAATCTATAAATGTATGTACTTTGAACTCCTAAATACTGCAGTAGTGTAGTAAGGTAATACCTACATGACTCAAAGACAGTAGCAGTAACACAAACAGTTATGACTGGATAGCTGCAGGATGGCCATGTGGAAAGTTGATGTGCTCAATCAAGCTCTTCCGGTTACACATTACATTAACTGGCACCTTTGTTAATATTTAGCATTCTTTAGCAAAGAAACCAATTAATTAGACTGATAGGAGAAAAACTTTTTTTTATTCAAAACACTGGATACTAGTGCACTGCTGCTGGAAATCTTCAAAAAGCGTGTGTTTAAGAAAACACTAACTATGATTCCACTATATGTTTAACCATATATTTTACACCTTGATAATCTAAGTTCTCTTCTTCATCCCTATGATTAAGATCCTGAAAAAGCTAAAACGTTTGTATTTGGATGGAAATATGCTGGTACATATTCCCTCTGAATTGCCATCAACTTTGGAAGAAATAAAAATAAATGACAACCACCTTCATGCCATTGATGAAGATGGCTTACAAGGTATTTAGAAAACTAATATCAATCATATGAAAAGATTAAAATAAATTTGAAAAGCAGAATGTTCAACCAAATGCATCTGGTTAGATATAACCAGAAAAATAATTGCTAGCTTTTAAGTGCCATGTTTTCAAAAGGCAACAAAAGCTGAAAGATTTGCATGACAAAGTTTTTTAAAATTACATTTTCCCTTCTTATGCAACTGCTACTCTCCCAAAGAATCTTATATTTAAGGTTACTAAGTAGAGATGGATTTGAAGTATGTTGAAGATACCTACTCTCCTGACCCATAACCGGATCGCGTTACATGTGGTGAAGCTATATTAATTATTTTTTAAATTGCATTAAAGTGAACAGAATCTGATGTGCATGAAAAATAAGGCAGCATATAATTGGAGTTAACCATGATCATTTTAAGCCAAGCTAAATGTGGGCTGATACAGAAAAAAAAAAGAAAAAAAAAAGAAAAAAGAAAGGTTACGATCCATGTCATAATTTGACTGACTTTTTTGCTCCTTTTCCTCTCCTGCCAAAAGGGTCCCCATTTAAACTGCATCAGTTTAGTGATACAGCTCAGTATGGAACAATATGCTTGAGCTAAGACAAAGAAAACGTAGGCCAATGGCTGCAAGAGCCTTTTAGTTTAAAAATCAAACTGTACTGTTAGGAGGAGCTATACAAAGCTTCTGTAAAAAAAAAAGTTATTTGGATTATTTGTGAATGAGGAACTTATCATGAAACAGTATTTCACATTGATCAGCACTGGTTTCTTCTGTGACCTGCATTTGGACGGCTGAGGAGGAGCAACAGTATAATCCGTGAAGGGTTCTCAACACAGTATAGTAGGTGGTTGAAAGGAGTGAAGCAGGGAGGAGAAGATATGAGCCCAAAGAAAAAGTAACATACCCATTATCACATAACTGACTGGAGATCCACAGAGATCATTGGGCAGCTGCACAAAGGTCAGCACCCACATAGTATTCCAAACATCACCTGCACATAACCATGAAGTAATAAAGCCTAAATGGTAGCACTATCTGCAAGTCTTACGCAGCTGCCTTCTTTTCCATTCTAAGTGGGAGAGAAAGCTATAAATAAAGCTCTAGTCAATCTCTGAAGTTTTACAAACTAATAAACAATACAATTCTATGCTTATCAGATAATAAATGAAAATCCTTTCACTATATTTCTTCATTGCTGTGAACTGATCAGAGTAATGTTTAAGATGGTTAAATTTTAAACATGCATTTTAAGAAGATATGAGATTGCATTAACTAACAGAAATTCCAACTTTCTCTCCCCAGATTTAAAGAACTTGGTCACCCTGGAATTAGAAGGAAATAAACTTAGTGAAGCGAATGTCAGTCCTTTGGCCTTTTATCCCTTGAAAAGTCTCTCTTATTTGCGACTGGGAAGAAATAAATTTAGAATTATCCCACAAGGTCTTCCCACCACTCTTGAGGTAAAAACAAAACAAAACAAACGAACAAAAAGAATCAAACAAAAAATCAAAACAAGAAAGCTTCATTTTTCCAGACATTTTCATCTTTGTTTTCTTCTACTTACTGCCTTACTATCATCAGGTAGAGATAAATGTACATTTTATAAATTTGTTTCTAGATATACTAATAATTTTTATTCCTAAATCATAATTTAAAGAAATTTACTTACATACCAACTCCATCCCAAAAGGTATCTTTTAAGTCTGAATTTATCTAGTACTGTCTCACAAAATAGTACAGCCTGCAACTTCTGTTGATGTTACCCATCACTCACATAACACTCCTAATACAGATAATGTCTTGGTGCAAAAACATTGTGAACTCTGAGTTACCACACAGAGTAAAGTTCCCAAGACAGCAACAAGAATAATGAGAGATCTAGAAAACCTGTTTTATAAGGAAAGACTAAAGGAACCAGAATTGTCTAGTCTGAAAGAGGGAGAGAGAGATGCCTATATCTAACCATCCTCTTCCTGTTTCGGCTGGTCTAAGTCTCAATTTCCCTGTTTTTCCAAACCTTTGCTGAATTCCACCTCATTGGGGGGGGGGGGTGGGGTGGGGGGGCAGGGTTTGA